CTCTTGTCTGCTCAGCAATTCCACCTTTAAGTCATTTTTTTTTCCCACATTTCACCATTAGCTGTTAGGAGGAGCTGAGCCACACCTTCCACACTTTATTTAGAAATCTCTTCAGCTAGGGGAGCCTGGGTGGCTCAGTCAGTTGAGCCTCCAACTTCGGCTCAGGTCATGATCTCACAGTTTGTGGGTTCAAGCCCTGTGTTGGGCTCTGTGCTAACAGCTCAGAGCCTGGAGCCTGCTTCAGATTCTGTGTCTTCCTCTCTTCCTGACCCTCCCCTGCTTACGCTCTGTCTCTCCCTCTCTCTCTCTCTCAAAAAATGAATAAACATTAAAAAATTTAAAGAAAAAGAAATTTCTTTAGCTAAACATCCAGTTTCATCACCTGCAAGGTCTACATTTCATGAAATATCAGTACACAAACACAATTCAGCCAAGTTCTTTGCCACTTTACAGCAAGGATCACTTTCCTTCAGCGTTCAACAACAAGCTCTTCATTTCTGTGTGCCATCACCAGAATGGCCTTCACTATCCATATATCTACCATTTATGACCACTAGGGGTTCTCTAAGAAGATGGAGGCTTTCTCTATAGCTCTCTTGTTTTCTTTCTGAACTCTTACCAGAATTATTTTTTAAAGGTTCATTTGTGGAAATGTAGGCATCTCATTTTCTAGCATGCATCTCAAAACTCTTCTAGCCTCAACCCATTGCCCGTTTCCAAAGCCACTTCCACATTTTTAGGTATTTATTACAGCAGTGTCCCATTTCTTGGTACCAATTCTGACTTAGTCTATTTGGGCTGCCATAGACTGGGTGGATTAAACAACAAATATTTCTTTCTTACAGTTCTGGAGACTGGGAAGTCCAAGAACAAGGCACAGGCAGATTTTGTGTTTGCTGAGAACCCTTTTTCTGTTTCACAGACCGTCATCTTCTCACTGTGTCCTCACATGCAGAAAGACAGCAAGAGAACTCTCTGGGGTCTCTTTTACAAAGGCACAATCCCGTTCATGAAGGCTGTATCCTATGACCTTAACACTCCCCAAAACCCTACCTCCCCATACCACCACAGGGTTAGGAATTCAACATATGAATTTGGAGGAACACAAACATTCAGACCATACCAGCCTCCTTCCCATCACTTGGTATTACCAGTCTTCTAAATTTTAGTCATTCTTCACAGTGTGTGGTGGTATCATATTATGATTTTAATTTCTATTTATATTATTTTAGTTTGCCCTGAATAACTTTCTTATTGTGCAGATCTGCTTGTGAAGAATTCTCATGGTTTTTGTTTGTCTGAAGTCTTCGTCTTTAGTTTTAAGAGAGCGGAAAGGTAATTTGGGGCCTCAGTTCCTCTTACCTACTTCTCACTAAGCAGAGCTCCTATGCATCTCTGCCACATGGTTAAGAAGTTTGTGCAAAGCCCCAGATGCACTCCCTGTCCTTAGAGGCTTCTTGGAGAATCTGGCTGGGAAGTCCTGATTCCTTTGATCTCTGTTTGTGTTAGTGAATATAAGGTGGGATCTATGTGGGTTTGCAAGTGGGAGAGGGTATGAAAAAAAGAAAAGTGTGGAGTTTGGGTGGTAGGATGAGTGTGTTCATAAAACAACAGTGACTTCTTTTGTCTGTGCTCTCCTAATGGTTCTGGGACTGGGAATAACACAATTATTCTTTATCCCTTTTGTTTTGGAGTTTTCCTTGAAGTCTAATTATAAGTCAGACTGTTATTGTCTAGAATTGGGGAATGAATATCATTTCACTGTTATAAAATAACATGCAAAGAGCTGGAAACTACTCCACCTGAACCTTAGGCCTCTTTTATTTGACTCCCACCGACAACCCTAATCACTTTAACAACTGAACTACTTCAATACCAGAGGAGAAATAAAGGGGAGCAGATGAGAACAAGGCAGTAGGTCACCTAAAAACACCAATCTCAAACACTTCTGGTGCTGGCCCTGGGACCCCATGCCCTGGGGAGGGAAAGAGGTGTTAGGGCTGCAGCAAGAAGCTGAGATTTGGCAAAGCAGCAGAGAGCCCAACCTTTATGAATCTCCCGCCTCTCACAATTGCAACACGTAGCTCATGTTGGGCGATTAGATCCCTCTGCCTGCCCCATCATGGCACTGGAGAAGGTGCAGGGCAGTGGCTCAGGCCCTAGTTAGTAACCCCACGCTCCCGAAGTACAGTTAAGCTTTCATCAGCTAATGTGGGTGGTCAGTTTGTAGCTGGAACTCCATCCACTAGGAATGCCAGGAAGCGCGGGGCAATAGGTATCCTGGAGTTGTCCCCGGAGAGCTAGTTGCCTTTGGGGCCCTCTGCTGATATGCACCTTGCTTTTGTGCAGGAGACACTCCCACCTCGCTCTACACGCTCTTTCCTGCCTCTTGGCGGTGTTCGATGTGCGGGCCAGCTTCTTGGGTTTACTTTTCCTGGCACTGCGAGACAGCCTTGTCTCCAACCAAGAATGGGGTGGAGTTTACTCCAATTGCGCTGAAGCACACCTACTCCAGGACCAGTCTGGGCCTGGAGCGCCCTCTGGCGGTGCTGGGTGCCGGGCCTAGACCTCCGCGCACAGCGCCAGCCTTTGGGTTTGGTCTTCTGAATGCGCTGGACAGCGCCTGCCCGATGGTGGAGCTCTGAAAACCTTTCTGCCTTGATTATTACCTCACCCCTCTCCAGGTCATACACGGGGAGGCGCGACGCAGCCTTAGACAGCTGCTAGGATGGGCGTGGTGGGCGTCCAGGGAGAACCAGCGTGCTGCTAAGCATAGCTTCGTCAGTGTGGACATGTAGTTGCTGGGCCTGGAGTCATACCTGTCATTTTTCTCTCAAGTGACCACTGCCAAGAGGGCTTGCTTGACCTCTTGGTGTTCCCCAGCCTCATCACCATCATACCTGAGTCACTTCTTTTCCTGGACATTGGAGCAGGAGGGGTGTGGCTGTCTGGGGGAGCTGGGGGGGGGGTCTCCCAGAGTAGAAGGCTATCTTTACTGCGAGGAGTGTGCATGGGAGAAATTCCAGAAACTTTCACTTTTTGCTGATGTCATAATCTCTGGACCCAAAGGTAGAGGAATCAGCATGGTTTGGATATGGGTGAGATGGGGTTGAGCCCTGAAAATTGTGGAGACTTTCCATGGTCTCAGCCTCCAAACACAACTCACAGGAAAAGTCTGGATTGGGCAGTGGTGATGTCCATACTCAGAGAATTTCTACTGGGTGCCAGACAGGGCACAGGATTCAAGTGTGGCCGGGACAAGTCACTGACCTTCTCTGGCCTTCACAGGTATGCGTGGACCTTCTGGAATGGCTCTGGTATGTATGCCAGAGAATGCTTCTGAGTGTTGGGTCAGGGTAGACATGTCTTAGATGTCAGGCCAGTACTGGTCTACACAGGGGCAACTGCATGCCAAGGCAGGTAGGGACCCATGCTACTTCAACACTGAAGACTGGACAGCGTCCTAGGGACAGTTTGGCAAAGCCAAGGGAGGGATGGATAACTGTTCTGCCCACCTGATTGTGGCCCATAGAGGCTGATGGCAGAACCCTTTTGGAGGGGACTGAGTTTTGGGACCCTGGCCTTGAGGGACTTGGGGCCTGACACCTGCACTTATAGGGTTCGGACCCAAGTTCCAGGAATTACAGACTCTGGATATCACATAAATAACCCTCTGTAGTGCTTCAAATTACAAACATTTTTACACATGGTGTTCTCTCTGCTTCTCAACAACTCAGGAAGATAGACCTGAAAATCCACACTAACAGGTAAGGATCCTCAGAGAGGGTAAAAGTCACATAGCCAGGGAGAGGTTTGAACCAAGACTTAAACAGCTACCTTAGCCATAGCAGATTTATCCACAAAGACAATGACAGTCATGTGGGGCCCTTAGAGTAGTGGGATCCTGTGGGCTGATGGGCCAACACAAAGGAGGAGGCACTTAGGAGTGAGAATGACTTATGGCCCTAGGTGGGCACAATGTGGGGTGGGAGCCCTGGTTAGGCTGGGCAGTACTGAGGGCTTCAAGGAGACATAGGCTGTCAATAAAACACGATCGTCTATTCCCAAAGCCTGAGGTGCCATTCAAGGCCCATCACAGTTTACCTATCCAGACTTATTAGGCCAGGTCCCCATCTTTGGGCCAGACCTTACTCATCTGTTCCCTGACCAAGATATCCCACGCAGGGCTGTGACTTGGGTGAGTCAAGTGAAGAGTGTATGTTGTGAAATTTGAAGAGGCACTCTCTCAGGGCTGTGCAAGTGCAGGCTAACACCGGCAGGACCCTAAGACAGAGTCTCTTCTCTTTCACCTCTCTCTCCTGCCTTAGGTCTAAGCTTTGAACTCCCAGAGGGAAGAGGCTGTGGCTGCTACTGCCTGGGTGTCCCCAACCCAGCCTGTGGGCAGTGCAGTGCTGTCACTTGGAGCTCAATAAACATTTGGCAGTTGTCAAGTCTCATCTTTCTTCCCTGAGAGAAAAAGGGCCTATGCTGGGAAAAGCACATGTACGCCACTCGATCTAACCGATGGATCTAATTGGCCAGGGTCTGGACTTCTCATTTGTTAGACATAAGCAAATGAGATGTGGGGGGCCAGGGTAGGGGTGAGAACCCAGTGCCCTTGCAAGATTCAGAAAGTCCAAGCCAGAAGGTAAAGGACATTTAGTCCCACGTATTCTTTTTACATGTGGGGCAACAGAATTGGAGAGTAACAGTGACTTGCCCTTAAGGACAGGACAGGGATACATAACAAGTTCTCCAACGACAACTGTGACTTAATCCTGGAAGCCAAAGCTGCTACTGGATGCGCATCGAGTATATCGACTGTCTACTTATCAGGACTGGAGCAATGAGCAGGATCGATCCATTGCTTTTGACTGCCAGCAAGTGCTGCTCGCCGATTGGTCCGGGTTAAGGAAACAGAAAAAAAAAAAAGGGCGTGCACGTGGTACCCTCCGTCAGAGACTGGCCCTTGCGGGTGAGAGTGAGGCCGGGGAGCGACCATGGCGTCGCTGAATAGTAGCGCTGTCGTCTGCGTGATTTGCTTGGAGAAACCCAAATACCGCTGCCCCGCCTGCCGCGTGCCCTAGTGAGGGTGGGGGTCGTGGGGGAGGAGGCCGGGTGGGGCCTGCGGGGCGGCTCGGGGACCCGGCGGGGGCTGCGGGAGGGTCCGCGCGGCTTTCCGGGCTGACGCGGTCGTGGTCTCTGTTGTTGCAGCTGCTCAGTGGGATGTTTCCGGAAGCACAAAGGTAAGACCCCGGCGCCCCGCCTGAGCCCCCCGGCACTCCCCTAGTGCGGGCAACCCCCGTCAATCCCTGCCTCGCCCCAGGGTGAACCTCTACCTGTGAATGCTTCCTCGGGTTTCGAACAGTGAAAACTTCTGCCCTGCCTTTTCTTTTATAGACTTTTCTCTTTTCTTTCCTTCCTTCCTTCCTTCCTATTTAAATAATGGGCTACTTTGGTCTGACAGAGTCGACACTAGTAGTTTCTTCATCTTAGAATTCTGACGCAGAAGCTGCTCTTGCTGAGGTTAACGAGAACGTTTTCTTTCCTTCAAAAATGTTTTGTTAGAAACAACGAGGTAGATCTGTTTACAATAAGGAGCGATTAGTCTACATTTTAACTCCAGTTCGGGGTCTCTTCTCAGTCCTCAGGGACCCTTTGCCGCGACCGCATGCTGGGTTGACTCTTGTGTTAAAGTTCCTCATTGGTTTTTTGCCTCTCGTGTTCCCCCCTTCCAGACTCTGATTCAGAGGTCCATTTCAAGCTGCTTCCCTCCCCCTGCTGTTTTTTTTTACCCTAATGACCGTGGAGCATTTTCAAAGGAAACTTTTTGGTTCAAGATAGGAAAGAAGGAGAACCGCTTTGCTGGAAATAGGGTTGTGGAGCCGGGTTGGGTAGGCTTTGCTCTGGCTGTGCAGCCCTGGGTGGCCCAAGAATCCCTAAGGCAATCTGTGGCAATCTGGAGCTCTCAACTGTGTGGCCGGGCTGCCGCCAAGGTCTTTCCTGAAATGCACATTTGAGTAATTAACTCCCTTGTTGAACACTCCAGCCTCTCTAGGAAAGGAAGCCAGTGATTCTTAACTTGGGTATTGCTCTCCCTAGGGAGATGCACTGTTACCCTGTTTCTGTTTTACAGTAGCTGAGGAGGGTTGGGGGGCAATTCTGGCAATTGGTATTGACTCAGATAAACAGCCTGTGGTGTGTGAGACTCACACCATTAAAGACCTTTGGGTCTTGAACACCACAGTGCCCTTGATGAGAGACACTGGTCTTGGGAAGAAAGGCCAACCTCCCTTTGTGGTATTCTTTTGCTCTTCCTCCACTTGTGTGGGCCCCAGCCTCCTGCCAGGCCTGCCCTGTCAATCAACTGGTAGTTGCTCATCACCATGTGGTTGCTCCTGACCCTGTTCTTTCAGGGGTCTGGTCCAGCCATAGACCTTTCCCTCTGCCA